ATTTACAATGTAAAGACTATTAATGTCAAGCTAATAAATTAAATTTCTAATAAAAGCCCACATTTAATACTCATTTGTGATAATAAAAAAAAATTAATTATTTTATTTTGTTTTGTTTTTAATTATTAGTAAGACTTATAAATAAGTAAATATATAAATTTAAGTTTTTGATTATATTTTATATTTGAAATACAAATTATTTTTATATACTGTATATCTAGATATCTTTTATATAATTTATATTTAGTGAAAGATTAATTGATTATTAATTGGATTTTAAAAATAATTTGTTTTTTAAGTTTTTTATTTATATTTTATATAAGTTTTAAAATCTTTTATATAATAGATTTATATATAAATAACTCATTAATTTAATAGTAAATTAAAAAAGTTGATATAATAATTAATAAAATTTATTTATTGCATAATATTAGTAATATAAATATAATTAATAAAAAAATATTATATATAGTTTAATATCAAAGTAATATAAATATTTTGGATTTTGTTTTAATAGATATAATAGTTCTTGATTTTTTTGATAATCTATATAATTATTAGTTTATTTTTTTAATTGATTTATCATATATATTAGTTTATTAAATAAAGTTTTAAATTTGTAATTGAAGTATAGTATATTAAAATATTACGGTTTAATATTACTTGTATTTAATATAGTTTTATGTTTTTATACTATTGAGTAATTATATTTCTGAATAATTGAAATGCTTTTTTATTAGAAAATAAAAAATTTTCTAATTATAATAAAATATTTTTTGTTCAAATAATATAAGCTTCTTCATAAATAATAAAAGTATAAAAATTTTCAAAGAGAAATTATTTTTATAATTCATATTTTGAAATTGCTCTATTGGATATTTAATATCTATATTTAATAATTTAATTGTCAAAGTTCTTATAAAAATTCTTGAAATGGGATATAAGTATTGATCAATTGTTTTTTATTTATGTACAATAATTTTTTAAACTAACTTCTATTAGATTTTCTTGAATTATTTTTTTAGTAAATAGTCGACATAATTATATTAGTTCTAGAATATACTTTACAAATATAATGTATAATAAATTGTCTGTAATGTATAATATATAGTATTTACTTTAGTTTATCTTTTCTATTACAAACAATCAATAAAATTGATTAAGTTTGTTATTAAAAAAATGTATAAATGAATGTTTTTTTAAAAAAAAACTAAATTGGTTTTAAATATATTAAAGTTTATTATTATTAATATATTAATCCCTTATATAGTATAAAATTTTCATATAATTAAATAAGCTTTACTAGGAAAACGGAAACCGTTATTTATAAGTTAGATTTACTTATTAATAATTAATCACGTCGACTCATTTTTAAGCGGACATTTTTAATATATAAGTAGTTCGCTCCGGACTAATAATAATGAAAAGCACGTGCCACTTCATGCACTTTTGCGGTTTTTGATTCCACCAATTGAAAATCCTATTTTGTATCATTTTCAGGCCACAGCCACACTTATTTTTCTCGGAGATGAACGTATGCTATTGACAATTATTCGAAGAAAAAGTAAAGTTAGTAAATAAAAGTTTTATGATGTTGATTAATGTTACCTTCGAATTTGGAGAATTCTTCGCTACAGATTTCATGGTGAGGTCTATCTATGCCAGCTGCGTAAAGTATTGTACATTATGTTCACATTTCGTAAAAAAATTATGTTTAGCAAAACGAAAAATACAGCAGACTAGACTCCTTACCTTAGAACAAATTGCTACTCTAAATAGATTGAATATTATTTTCACAGCATATTGTGAGTAAAACAATCCTACGCGGCTAAAGTACAGTATGACACGGAGGATACTGTAATTTCCTCCATGCATCCAAGATAGGTTTCGTAGATCGCATGGATACTCTGAAGTGGGGTTTTATTCCACAAAACAAAAAAAGAAATAAATAAATAAAAAATTAATAAATAAAATATTTAAATTTTATGTTGTCACACTAGACAACTTATTGAAAATTAAACACAAAAAACTTTTCGTTCTCGGTGCCTTTATTTTGTCCTAAGCAAGACAACTGTTTATAAAAATCAATAAGAAAATGGTACTGTTTTGAGAGACTGCACGCATTAATGCTATTGCACCTGCAAGTTCAAAAGAGTTGTGACCGACCAAAGAAACAAAGTAAAAGGATATATGACATTCATGCGCGCGACAACGATGCAGCGTGGTTAATTGAGGCCATCACTGATCTACATGAATTAACTTGCTATAGAAATAGAAATTTTTTGAGGCGAAGGCTGGTGAAAAGTTTTCTGTGTTAATAGCACTTATATACATATTATTACATTTAACAACTCCGTATCCGTGAAATAATAAATCTTATTGTTCACTAAAATTGTAAAATTCGTTTAATTTTTCCTTAAGGCGATTACTTTCAAGGAATTCCGAAATTATTCTTCTGCTCATCTTCAATAGTCAATAGATAATGTCAATAGATTTTTCATGAGTGTCAAATTAAAAAACAAAAACACAAAGGTGCTTATAAAAAATTCAAAGTTCTAGCTATATAAACCCTCTAGGAGATCGCTATCTCCTCCGGTTTTCACAATTTGGTGCTAACGACTCAAGTAACTCTGTCCTAAAGGCAATGTCTGATAACTCGAACGCGACGCCCACAAATGCTGGTGATTCTAATAAAAATCCATTTAGGAGACCAAAATTTCCACCCGACATAAACCCAGCAAAAATAGCGGAAGATCGTATCCGCAAGCTTAAGGATCCAAAGAAGATTAATTCAAGAGGGCCGAATTGTTTTATGATTTATAGGGCGTATTGCACCTCCATTAACATCGAATCGCGTCGAAGAGGTGGTCGAAAAAGAAACAGAAACAAAATTCAAATGACGGAGTTATCAAAGATGATCTCTGATTCATGGAGGAATGAGCCTTTGAAAGTGAAAGAGCATTATAAAGAACTAGCTGATCAGACTGAGCTTGAGCTGGTTAGACAAAGAAGGTCTAAAGAGATCCACATTCTGGCATGCAAAAGGTTTCCCCAGAATGAGCATCAAGGACCTTATGAAAGCCCCTCCGAAACGGGTGATACGAAAAATCATGACGAAGATCCCGATAAAAATTCTCTAAATCCTTTCGTCGAACCCATTGGAGCGCTTTTCGATCCATTATATATTGATTTTGAAAGTCAGTATAACTCCGAAATTCACGAATTCTCGGGATACTCCCCACAAATTAATAATATTAATTTGGTGTATCCACCTTACGCTTATTTCCCGGGGTACTACTTGTTAAGTCACGGCGAAGTTTTCTTTAACTAAATGCATTAACGTATCCTTATATCGGGCATCCCAAATTTTTTTCGATTCTTTAGCATATGCTTATACAACGTTAATATTTTTTTACTGCTACGTTTATTTTCTTTAATCGATGAATCAAGCGATCGATCGATACGTACGCGCGTACGTTATAACACGTGTAAAGAAACCATTTAATAATTATGATTTAAAATTTTCAATATATATATATTATATATTTATATAAGGGTCAAAAAAATATAAATAATTTTAATTATGATATTTTACAGATTTTAAAACATTCTTTACTTAATATTCATAAGTAGAAATAAACGAAAAAATTTTGACATTTATATACTGTATGTTTATGTTATGAATAAAACGTTAAAACTTAAATTCTTATATAAAAAACATAATGTAAAGTGAATTGTCATAATTTTTTAATTGTGTAAAATCAAATATGTAAATCAAGTATACTCTCTGAAGAAATTTATCAGAAAATAGTAATTTATAAAATAATAATTTAATACAGTATATTAAAAATATTTAGATAATATTATTATATAAACAAAACTCCTTCCACAGATCCTTTGACAACATACAAAAAAGATGTTTGCAAAAAGTTTTATGCTTCTAGGTTAACAAAGTCTTACTACTTTCCTTAAGAATAATTTCAAAAATTGCTTCTACTTACTTTTTCCTGTTATATTTATTTTTATACAAAAATTTAACTTTTAGTAATTAAGAAAAATCAAGAAACATATTTTTTACCTATAGCAAAAAAGTTTCAAAAGGAAAAAAACTAATAATACAATATTAAAAACCTTTTTTCTAAAGTCAAAGTATATATAGAAACTTTGTACAATGTAAGAATAACAAACAAAAGCTTAAATCTTAAAAAAAATTTCTATTTACCGTTTTTATTACCTCGGTTTAATCCTGAATTTTGAAGTGATACAAATAAATATAATTTTTATTAAAGATAATTAATCAATATAAAGTATATTAATAATAAAATTTAAACAAGCTCATATGAATTACAATATATATATCAATAGTAATAATAATAATAATAAATATTAATTAGTTCTTAGTTTCTACTTACTTTTTCTATTGAGTTAACTTATAAATAAAGTTTTATAAATTTATTAATATCTAAGTAGAAAAGTAAAAAGGCAATTATTTATTTAAGCAAAAAAAAATTTTTTATTATTTTAATTACATAGAATTTGAGATTAAAAATTTTTTATTATTCTAATCAAGCAATAAGATCAAGTGATCTCTAGTTTATATTAAGTTTTAATCCTTTAATTGTAATTAAAAATAATTTTTTTAAAAAATTATTTAGAAATATAATAATTAACAAAAGTTCTTATTATTATTCTTGAGTTAAAAGTTTTTATACTATTATAAAATAAAAAAAATATTAAGAAATTTGATATTTTAGATAGTAAAAAATGTTTATCAATAAAATTTCTTTAATTAGATATAATCCTTAAAGGATATTATATTAAAATAATGGACCTGTGGGTCTATAGCACAGTGGTAGTGTTCCCAGGTCGCAATCACAAGGTCCAAAGTTCAATACTACATGGGGGTCAAGTGAAAATACTGCATTACAATGAATTCAGTACTCCATTGGGTGACAGTAAAATGTCATTTAGTGTAGATCTGGTTATCTTATTGATAGTTGAAATGAAAGAATCCGCTGCTACACGGTGTCACCTGTAGCTGATCTTTATTAGATCAGGCCGGTCTACAGGTATTGTGAGCCGATCAGTATCTTATCAATACCTTGATAAGGTGAAGAAGGATGGAGCTGATTTCGCGGTCAACCAGAATGAAGACTGGATTGGCGCCAGGTACCTTGACGATCTTACCGATCGCAAAAAGTTGCCGCAAGTTAAGAAGGTTGAAGTTCCAAAGTAGAGTAAACATTGTACCAGTAAGATACTTAAAAGCATGGCCTAATATGTGGTAGGGCTTATCATCGGGAGACCTTGGTGGAAGGAGGAATCCGCGGATTACACTGAAGTCCCAAATCTGAGGACAGGCTAGAGCAAACGCAACGGTCTGATAACTAGATTACTCTATAAAAAATTGTTCTAGGAAAAATTAAGAGAG